TCTAAGATTTCCTACATATATTTCGTTGCTGCATCTTGTACTTATCTGATCGTTTATATTCTATTCATCATAATTAAACGCATGCGATTGCAGAGATTCATGTCCATATTAAGTAATATCTTCGATATTGATAGATAAATTATATTATTAGATGTTAGAAGAAGAAGAAATTATATTTTTATATCTTTAAAAAAATAAATGTTTGTTTGTCAATATTGATCAGCGAAATATATAGACTTAGTTTTAAAAATACAGACTTAGTTTTAATTTTAAAAATACAATAATGAAATTTACAGACACATATTATCTATACAAAAAGAATGTAAAATTTAATTCAAAAAGGATCTGAGTGTTTTGAGTCTGTTGCATCTAACAATACAATTATAAAGAACTGATTTTGATGAAATATGATATATTATATTTATATACTATGATATACTATATTTATATAATGTAATAATTATTCCGACAAATTATTTATATATTTTTATTTCAATAATTCAATATATCGTAACATTTAATTATACATTTTTTTATTTTAAATATGTATTATGTGTTCATTTAAAAAATTGTTAAAAAAATTTTATATTCCTATCATAATTTTATATTATTTATTTTAAATAACAAATAAATTCAATTTATTCATTCTACACGAATAATAATTAATTAATTAATTAATTTATTTATTATTTGAATAAATATGAATAAAGTGAAATTCGATATAATTTTATTTAATAAATATTCAATAAATTTGCTTCGATACATAATTTATTTATTCAAATTTAATTGATATTATATATATATAATTGATGAGCAAAAATAACTATATTTTAAGCATTCTTGTTAATAACTCATTATCAAAGCTAAGACGAAAATTTTTTATGAAAAAAGTTGAAACAAAAATTTTTAAGAAAAAAACTATTTGAAATTATCTCAAAAATCTTTAATTAAACTATTTAAACAGTTCTTATATTTTTGGGACAAATTCTACAGTTTTCTATTTAAGTATCCGCATTTTTATCTGTATTTTAAATAATTATTGATATCCTGATCAATATTTAAAATTTTACAATCCTCTTTGAGTATATAAAAATTTTGATGCCTCTGACTTGAATTCTACGAATATTAATATCTCACTTATTTATCTCATTTATTTTTTCTTTTTTTTTCAGTAGAATTAGCAGAAATCATATAGTATTCTAATTGAGGATAATTAAATATATATAGGATAATTATATATATATAGTAATTAATTATATATATTAATATAACATATTAATATAATTATATATATTAATTATATATATGTGTATATATGTATATATCTTCTGTATTTTTTTCATGGATTCTATTTGATAATTTTAATGATGTTTTAATTTTTTTGTTATTCTTGTATAGTTTCAATATAAATAAAATTATTATTTTTTATATAATGCACTTTCAATACTTCAATATTTATTATAATGATAAATAAATTTCCAATTCACAAAAAGATGAAAAATAGAATTACATATTTATTAAATTCTGTCATATATGATATATATATATATATATATATCATATAATATCATATATTGTTTTTGATATATATATATGCGGCAGTTTATTTAAAACTGGTTTAACTTAACGTATTAATTGTAAATTTGCTAATATTGCATTTCAATTTTGTAGATAATTTCAATTTAATTTTGACAGATAATACAATTGTTATTATTGAATATCATTATCAGTGTCGTGTTTTGTCAAACTTTGCTTTTATATTAAAATTAAAAATGATTTATTTATTGACTTCTTTTGATGCTTTCCTTAGCAAAAAAATTGCTAATACATAACATGGTTAGATTTTTTTCTAAACTTTTATTTTTTGAAGTAAATTTAAGAATATCAGCAAAAATAACTATATTTTAAGCATTCTTTTAAGATTGATCATTATTTAAATATATTTAGATTGTAATTTAATAACTATTTATATCATTTTATTCGAGAGAGAACATATAATCATTTTGTGAACAATTAATATGAAAAATTTCAAAAACAATTAATATGAAAAAAACATTTACAAAGTTGAAAAATTGCAATCTCTTTTTAAAATCGATTTTTCAAAAATTGTGGATTTTTACAAAAAAATTTATAAATTCGTATATATTCGTATATGCAATCTTTATAGACGTGCTTATTCGAACAAATTAGAAAAACATTTGTAAAAGATATGTGAATTATATCTGTGCTACCAAATTTGACTTATTGCACTTATGATCGTCATTTTAATGCAGATATAATTCTGGATAATATAACCAAATGGTATTCTAATAATTTTCCAAATATGCTTAAAATCAATAACTTTATATATAAATAATTTTTGAAGCAGTAGATTCTTAAAAGATTGAAAAAGCTATTAGAAGAAATAAAAAAAATTAACAATTTTTGATACTTTAAAATAAAATTTAACTAAAATACTTTTAAAATAAAATTTAACTAAATTATACTGCGATTCATCAAGAGATAAATTGTAAATATGCATTTGAATCAGAGGACTGACATAGCGAATCTAAAATGCATATCGTGTATTAAGTGACTGCTTATATAAAAACATAGGGAATGTATGGAAAATATATTTGTGAAAAATATATTTGTAAAAAATATATTTTGAATAATTTGAAAACTAAAATCGATTAACAATATATATAAACGAAAAAATGATATTAAACAACATATTTCTAATTCATAAAAATCGGATAAAAGGTAAAATGACTGCTGTCATTAAATACTGTTGCCATTGCTATACATTTTACTGAATTATTTTCTGAATTTCTATATTGAAAATAAAAATGATTTTATAGCTTCATATTTTTACATATAAACAAATTTTATAATTTTTGATATTTAATAGAAAGATGCTTTATGATATGGTTAGGTTTTTTCCTTTAGTTTTTAAAATAAATTGAAAAATATTAACAAAAATGAGCGTGTTTTCATTATTTGGTTATTATTTAAATATATTTAGATATTTATAATCTAATAACTATTTATATTATATTATTGGAAGAATCCACACAATCATTTCACGTCAAGAGTAATTAAATAACTATTATAATGAAAGTATAAAATATTTCTAAAATTGAAAAATGACAATTTTTTTTTTAAATTCTAAAAAAAAATGGTTTGCAAATTCATATTCAATTATTAAATCTATAAGAAATGCTTATTAAATATTAGCAATTATATGTTAAAAAAAAATTATTTAAAAAAAAATATAAATTATTAATTAAAATTATAAATTAAATAAAGATTTGAAATTATTTGAAATTATAATATAAATACAAGAACAAGCTTATTAAAATCTATGAAAAGAGAGTTAACTGAAAGATCGAGCAAAAGTAATTAATTAATTCTTTTATTACAAAATTTTCTAACAAATCATTTTAAAACAATTTAAAAATTGTGAGATTAATTTGAGAATGTTTTTATTATTTTCACATATTTTTTTTTTAATATTATTTGGAAAACAAATAATTGGAGTTGGTATTGAATACAAAAATTGAATGATTAATCATTTAAATTAAGTTGAACATTGATTAATTAACATTAATTAATTAATCTTGAACTTTGTTATTAAATAAAATTATTAAATAAAATTAATTAAACAGTATATGTAGAAGTTTGTACATTATTTTCCTGATAAGTGAATTTCATAATTAGTTATGTATGAATTATTCTCAAAAAGAAAACTGTTATATGAACGAAATGATTAATTACTAATAATTTTTTCAAATTTAATTTCTTTCAATTTAATCAAGATTTTAATATGTAGATTTTTTATAAAATTATATTTTTCTGAAATTAAATATTAAAATTTTTTTTCTAATAAAAAAATAAAGAAAAATGAACGATGAGAAATGCTCATATTTTTCGATCATTTATCATTTTAACTGTCAATCCTCTAATGAAATGGAACAGTTGCCAACTATTTTATCACGTTATCTTGCAAAACTTCTGTTTACCGCCAGTTTCATAATCGCCTTAAACTCAGTTCGAAGTCTTAAATGGAACTTCAACATAGAAGTCGAACCATGATAAAAGGATTGTCATTATGAAACCAGTTGCAATCTTGTTTAGAAGTCCAAGCCGGGCGCAAAGGGATCGTATAGTTAATATATTTAACATAGATCAAAGAAGTTTCTATATACGATCGATATTACATGCATATATATTGTGTATTTAGAACAAATTCAACTTAGCAATCGCTGGTTTCATTTGCGTTGGTTCAATTTATGATATGTTTATTTAAGTTTAGTTACTTTAAAAAATAATCGATAGAAATTGTAATTATAAATCTTTAATTAGACAAACATTTACAACATATTGAAAATCATTTCTTATATTTATTTTATGTATTTATGTTTATTGGTTAATGATTTAACATAATTGATTTAGTATAAGAGAGAATATAAATATGTATAATAAAATAATTTTTAATAATTTTATTACAATATAAATATATATTTATATTATTTATTATTTTAAATTTTCAAGATATTTCTCTTGGACAATGGAAATTTTTAAAAATATTTTATATGAATAAATTGAATATTATAATAATAGATATTAAATAAAATAGATATACAAAAATATAGAAAAATACAATTTAATAATTTAAATTCAATAAGAAAAAATTGCAAATTACATTAATAAATACATTATGTTCAGTCTCAATGAGTTAATTAATTTTTAAAGTAATTTTGTTTAATTTTGAAGAATACTTATAATATTTTTTACTCATTGATTTCATTAAATATTATTACTATAGATATTCCTTAACTTATTACTATAGGTTATTATAGCAATTTAAGAATTATATTCTAATGTTTGTATATGTGGGCGTTTCTTTTATATAAAATTCATCTCTTTATCAATAAGAAAACATCGAAAGAAATGACTCGATAAAAAATTATTTAACAATCGAATTAGGAATGAATGATTGATATTAAGGATTTTCTTACCGATTTTATATTATCCTGCGTATCGCCACGAGGGTTCGATTGTATCTACAACAAACGTTTTACGAATACTTTCAGACTTATAGCCATAATAAAATATCGTGTTACAAGATGAATTCGCGGCAAAATATGAAACGAAAATTTATGACAGTTTTTGCATAACGTTAAAATTAAAAAAAAAATTAACAATGAAAAAAAAAAGAATAAAAAAAAATTTATTTTATAAAATAAAATCTTTAAAATAATAAGAATTTAAATATATATTTCCATCCATAAATTATTAAAACATTTAAATATGTAGATAAATGAAAATTATAGGTTATATAATAGATTATATATTTTAGCATGAGATTGATATTAATTAACTATTTATTTTTATTATAGAGAAATATCATATTTTAATAATTTTAATTTCAATTTGCTAAGTACTAAGCAAAAACAACATTAAGAAACATAAATAGAATAATTCACATATTGTTATATTAGATTATAAAAAATATATTAAGAGATTACAATAAATCTATTACATAAATATATTAGATAAATTTATAAAATTTTTAAGTTTATTGTTTAATGTATAGAGTCTAAAATTGTTTAATTACATTTTCGATTATTTTATTCTTTTATTGTTGTAAAAATAAATAGAATGAACAATAAATTATAATATCAATATGATTTTTTATTATTATACATGTTATAAAAATCAAAATCTATTCTATGGATTTTTAATAGTGAATTTTTAATAATGAAAAAAATTTTCTAAAATATTGTTAATTTTCACTTTCATATAAATTTATATTTATACGATTTAAATGATATATTTTTGCAAATATTTATTATCTTGAATGTCAAAAAAAAATGATTCCACTATATTTTTATAATTCGATAATTGCGTATATACTTATCACAATTATGTTATATTTATAATGTTTGTTTTCTAGAGCGTAGAAACATTTTATATAATATTTATATAATATAATATAATTATATAATATATCAGAAAAATGAAATATATAAATAAAACTTTTTCCTATTTTTCACAACTAATATCAAATATTTTCCTTTTACAATTAATATTTAAATTGCTGGAATTTGATTCTTAATTTTAAATCGTTTAAAATTAAATATTATTTTCATTTCACTATAAATCTTTGTTCAATAATTTAAACTGATTTTATTTTTATTTTCAGCAAATAATATTTTTTAATCTTTTTTGTTGAAATTAGGCCTCATTTTCTGATGAATCTTTCCAATTGGATATGCTTTTTCGTAAATCTTTCAAAGCTGATGAGAAGGAAAATGAATAACTTAGAAGAAATATGAATTTTGACTATCTAAAAGTTCGGATTTTAATGACAAAGTTTTATTTTATGATTGTTACTGATGCAATTTATACATCTATGATACATCTATGATTGTTACTGAGACAATTTATATCAACAATTAATCAAACTAAAAAATTTAAAAAATTTTAATTAAACTACCTCGAGTCGTTTTATATTTATTAAAATTTTGAAATCCATAAACTTAATCCTTTAATTTAGTCCTTGTTTGTCTACTGCAAATTGCAATCATAAATGATTAAAAATACCTATATTTTATTTTTTCATCCCATTTTAATAAATATTTTAAAAATAATAATTATAAAAATTATATATTATATTATATTAAAGTAAAAATATCTAGAAAGAATCTCTTTTATGAAAAAATGAAAGTAGCAAAAAAAAAAAAAAAAAAGAAAAAAAAAACATACAATCGAATAATATATAAATTTCCCATGAGGGTCAACAAGTTACTCATAAAAGAGAGCTCTTTCGTTACACATGAAATCCATTTGCCATTGAAAATCATCCGATCGAAATCTTGATGTGAATTGAAGCAGCTTTTCTAACTAGAAGATTGCGATTATCGATAGTGCGGAAACATTATACTATAATTTTGAATTGTCTGTTTGGTCTACGGATCTCATCAACGAATCCTTACAAGAAATTGAATTCGTGAATGTAATTTACGTCTTATGCAAAAATTCCTGATAGGGCAACAGAAAGATTTCAACCGGAAATTCTCTCAAGATAATGCGTCACGCCGTTGTTACAAATCGTAATGCATGATGCAGAAAGGCTGATTTGAATTTTGATTGAGATTTGTATATAATTTTGACTTTTTAATGTAATTTGAATTATAAAAACACCGATTATAAAATTTTTTGCTTAAAATTATTAAATAATTAATTATTAAAATATTAGAGTCGAATATATATGGAAATTGTAAATTAATCTTTTCTTTAAAAATTTATTATAAAGCTAGATAATTTAATAATTTATATGTGAAATGTTTATAAAATGATGAATTTAATAAATTATTATTATAATTTTAATTACTCTAGCATTTTAAATATTTTAAATATGATCAAAAAAAAAAAAAAAAGAATTGAAATTAAAGAAATTTATCTTTTAATTTTTCTTATAAAAAAGAAGACTCGTCATCATTTCTTCCAAAAAGCTACTGGATTAATAAATTTGATAAACTTTAAAATTTAAATTTTAAAATTTACTAAAGCTTCAATTTAAAAAAACCGAATTTAAAAAAATAATATTGAAAATTTTAAATAGTTTTAATTCAAAAGTTAGAATTTATATGTAATAATATGCTTTGTGAAAGTTGATAATAATAAAATTTATTATAAGTAATTTAAAATTTTAAATGATAATTTTAAATATTATATATATAAGTTAAAATATAAATATCGAAAATAACAAATTAAGTAGTAATTTCAAATAATAACTCAGCATTGAATATAGGTAAATCTCAATATTGTGGAACATCATTAATATAATATTATTATTATTATAAAATTACTATTATTATTATAAAATTACTATTATTATTTTAAAATTTTACAAATTCAAAATTATAAGTTATAAGAAAATTCTTATAAGAAAATTTACAAATTCATTAACTTATTTTAATCTTAATTTGATGTAAAATTTTAAAAAAGAATATAATTATAAATTTTATATGTAAAATAATTTACAAAATTTTAGAATTTGTAAATTTTAATATATTAAATTTTAAATAAATATTAATTGTAAGAATAATTTAATTTTCGTAACAATTATTGTAATTTTTAATAAACTCTAAATAATATCTTGCGAATAAAACTCTATTAAAAAAATCTTTCTTGCAACATTTAAGGATGCATGGACCATTAACTTCAACTGTTTAACTCCAAACACCAGAGGTTCTCGTGAAATTAAAATCTTATAAAAAAGAGGCGTAAAAGAAAGAGAAATTATATTTCCCTTTTTACCTTAAACGTAATACTTTCATCATAACTTGACTTCGCTCTCATTTTTACAGTATATCCGTTCATTCAAATTACTTGGCTGTGTCACATCTCCTTTTATTAAAGTGAAATTATGCAGCATGAGGATTCTTATATAAAACATTAATATAATATTATTCTGTATATAATTGTTTTTTAAAAGTATTTTGATTGAAATTGGATAGGAAAATAATGGCAATGTTACAAAATTGATGTAAATTTTTTTCGATTTTTTTTGTAAGCATGTCGCTGTATATTGAATTCGACTTATATGATAATATATAAACTTTTTATATTTTTATTTTTTGCGAACTATGAAGAATTTATAATTTAAATAAGATTTCACATTCATGTCTTTCGTTGCGATGAATATAATATATAGTTTGACCAAATGAAACTTATTATTAAACTTGTGAATATTACTATAAAAATTCAGGTAATTATTTATATTCTCCTTATTTATATTCCTTTAATAATCTTAAAATATATTATTAGGAATATTGATTCCGAACAACTTTTATATATATATATATAATATGATATATATGATTAGCAATTATAAATCTAAAAATTTATCAAGAATTTTTTGTAAATATTTAAAAAATTAATGCTAATCGACAATAATACATATATATAATTTTAAAAATAATAAAAATATTTTAAAAATAATTTTTAAAATATTTATAAAAAATTCTTGATAAATTTTTAAATTTATAATTGCTAATATATTATATATTGTTTTTTATAATAAACATATTAGTATTTGTTATTACATTTATTTGGATATTTGATATTCTTTCCAAATAACATTTTGTTAATAATAATAATGATAAACATATATATTGAAAAAAATGGTGAAAAAATAATAAAATCGTTAAGATATTACGAAATTATGATGAAATTGATGAATTTAATTAATTAAATGTATATAATAGTTACGATAATTTGATATAATTTTTAATCAAACGAAAAATAATTCACGCCACAATGAATTATAATAAATCAATGAAACATAACTTAATCTATAATCCATTTTAATTTTTTTCTTTTATTATTTAAATTAGAATATAGTTAACTTATATAAGTTAACTTATAACTCATTAATTTTTTTTTTATTAGTTTAATCATAAGAATATCATTAATATTAAACAATAATAAATCAAGAAAATCTAATTTAAGTTAATAATCTATTAATTTTTTTCTTATTTAGATTAAGCTATATAAAAATATAATCATCGTTAGATAATCGCTTATACTAGAATTCAAATTTTTTTTGATGAGATAACCATTGAATTTTCGACTAAATTCATATTTTTCTTCATTTTTATATTGGCAATTATATTTGAACCTTGATTTACTTGACAATATTTATAATTTTAAATTTATTCTCTCAATTAGATATTTTTATATAGTATTGTAAGTATATATCATATAGCAGTTCTAAGAAATCTTTAGAGATTTCGAGTTTTTAGATTTATTTAAAGAATTTATTATTAAGAAATATTATTAAGAAATATTAATATTAATATAAATTATAAATCATTAATGTTTAAATATACTTAACAATTATCTGAATTAATTAAGAAAATAAAAAATTGAGATAAATTTTAATTTTCTTTTTAATTTAATTTTTATTTTTTATTTATTAAAATTTCATAATTAGCTAGATACTAATTAGAATTAATGTTTATATTAATGGATTATTTATTAATGAAATTAGAAG